GGCCTCCCAAAGTGCTGGGATTACAGACTTGAGCCACCATGTCTGGCCTTGTTATTTATTTTATTTCTTACAGAGATAGGGTCTCACTGTATTGCCCAGGCTGGTCTTGAATTCCTGGGCTCAGCCTTCCAAAGTGCTGGGGTCACAGGTGTAAGCCACTGCTCCTGGCTGAGGAGGGCAGTGAAAGCCAGGTTCCACCACCCTCTTCTGCTCTAACACCTTCTATGGCTCCCTATTGCCCTGGAGATAAAGCCAGGCAGCATCCCTCTGCCTGGCGTTCTCATGCCTTTAGAGCTAAGTGTAGATGGAAAAGCTGTGTGACTGTTGAGAAATGACTTCTCCTCTCTATGCCTCAGTTTCCTCACCCAGGTAGGAAGGGCAGAGAGAGACCTGGACAGGGCTATTAGCAGTCCTGAGGGGTTAGGGCAGGGAAGGGGCCTGGTGGGCTGCATGGAGGAAGGGGCTGCAGGACTGTAGCTTGAAGGACAAGAGGCAGTCTGCTTTTTGGAGGGACAGGAAAAGTGTGTTCTGAGCAGCACAGAGTGCCTAGGCCAAGTCTGGCCTTTGCTGATCTGGCCAGTAGCCCAGGGAGGGACAGTGCCCTCCCCGCGGTCTTGAAATGAGCCCCAGGCATCTGCCCTCTCCCACCTCTGCCTCAGTTTCCCCATCTGGGAACAGGAGCTCTGAAGAGGGAGGAGGTGGACAGACTTTCCCCGGGACCAGGCCCCACCCCACTGCTCACTCCGACTCTGCCCAGCAGACCTCCTTGAGGCCCGCCGCCCGCTGGCCCACGAGTGCCTGGGTGAGGCCCTGCGTGTCATGCGTCAGATCATCTCCAAGTACCCGCTGCTGAACACCGTGGAGACGCTCACGGCAGCCGGCACCCTCATTGCCAAGGTCAAAGGTCAGCCTGCTGGAACAGGGCTTCGAGGGCTCTCTTCCTGGAAGGGCATCCTGGAGGAGGGCATGTTTGAAGTGGGTTTTGAAGGATGCATAGGAGTTTGACAGGCACAACAGCTCCCTGCTGTTCCCACTGGGTTGAGGGCTCTGGTCAGTTCTTGCAGGGATGGTCACCTCCCAGAGTGGGCCCACCTCCTTGCCCTTATCTCTGCTTCCCAGCCTTCCATTACGAGAGCAACAATGATCTGGAGAAACAAGAGTTTGAGAAGGCCCTGGAGACGATTGCTGTGGCCTTCAGTAGCACGTGAGTGCGGGAGCCTGTGGGTCAGAGCAAGGGAGCGTGGGGGGCCCGGGTGTCTCTCGATGGTGACCCCGCTGGTCCTGCAGAGTGTCCGAGTTCCTCATGGGTGAAGTGGACAGCAGCACCCTCCTAGCAGTGCCTCCCGGGGACTCGAGCCAGGTGAGTGGAGTGGGCCGGGGCCACCTGTGTCCAGCTTCTGGAGGCCAGCCGGGTTCAAGTCTGCAGGGCCCAGCCAGTCACCCTGCTGCCCCTGTGTGCCTCGGTTTCCCTCTGTGTCCGGGGGGCAGCAACCGTCCCCTGAAAGGTGGGCACTGTGCAGGGTCCCGCATGGTGCTGGTCTCACCTGCGTCTCCATCCTACAGTCCATGGAAAGCCTGTACGGACCGGGCAGTGAGGGTACCCCTCCCGGCCTTGACGACTGCGATGCCGGTAAGCCCCCACACAGCACAGGCAGGCATTTGAGGGGTGAGCCATTGTGGGAGTCGGGCCAGGCTGAGCAGGCCCCTGTTCCCTGCAGGCTGCCTGCCCGCCGAAGAGGTGGACGTGCTGCTGCAACGCTGTGAGGGGGGCGTGGATGCCGCGCTCCTGTATGCCAAGAACATGGCCAAGTACATGAAGGACCTCATCAGCTATCTGGAGAAGCGGACGACGCTGGGTGAGAGCTGGGGTCCCTGCAGGGTGGGTCTGGAGGAAGGCCTTGTCCCAGCATCTCACACCCCTCCCCGGCCCGCAGAGATGGAGTTTGCCAAGGGACTGCAGAAGATCTCTCACAACTGCAGACAGAGCGTCATGCAAGAGGTGGGGGTCCCGTGGGCACGGGGCGGGGGTCCCTGGGCCTGGGTGTGAGTCTCAGCCCGATTTCAAGGACCCAGGGACCAAGAGCAGGGGCTTCACCTCTACATTAACGGGGGTGGGTGCAGGGACCAGGGAGGTGGTGGCTGGGGGTGCTGGGGCCGCCCTGCCTCCATCCCTCCCCACCCAGTGACCCGGTGCCCCACCCACAGCCCCACATGCCACTCCTGTCCATCTACTCGCTGGCCCTGGAGCAGGACCTGGAGTTCGGCCACGGCATGGTGCAGGCGGTGGGCACCTTGCAGACCCAGACCTTCATGCAGGTGCGTGGTGCCTGGATGGGCGGGCTGGGCCGGGGCGTCACCAGGGTACCCACTCACAGCCCGTCTCGCCCCAGCCCCTGACCCTGCGGCGGCTTGAACACGAGAAGCGCAGGAAGGAGATCAAGGAGGCCTGGCACC